GCCAGGCCCGCGCGCAGCTCTGGCAGACTAGGCCTGCTCCGCTGTCCCGGACCCCCCCCTCAGAGCGATCCGCGCCCCTCAGCGACCGGCCTCCCGCCACGTGCCCGGCCCAGAGTCTCCCCTCCTCCCCATACCCAGAGCGCCCCGTTCACATCCATCCCCTCTCCACAGCGTTCCTCCCTCCGCTCGGAAATGCACCGATCCCCGCCCCAGGGTGTAATCCCCTTTTCCAGAACAGCCATCCCGTTATACTGCTGTGGAGACAGTGAATGCGGGAAAGTGATGTACTTGTTCCCCTAACACAAGAACTAGAGTCACCAGGTGAAATTAACAGGTAGCCGGATTAAAACAAACAAACACGTTTTTTCTTTCCTCCCATAATGCACCATCCACCTGTGGAACTCCTTGCCAGAGGATGTTGTGAAAAATAGGACTTGAACAGGGTTAAAAAAAGAGCTAGATAGATTCATGGAGACTGTTAACCAGGATGGGTAAGAAGTAGTGTGGCTAGTCTCTCTTTGTCAAAAGTTGGGAATGGATGACAGGTGAGGGATCACTTGATGATTCTCTGTTCTGTTCATTCCCTCTGGAGCACTTGGTATTGGCCACTGCCAGGACAGGGTACTGGGCTAGAGGGCCCTTTGATCTGATTCTGTTTGGCCCTTCTTATCTTCTTCCCACACAAGGCAACCTTAGTCCATATAACTAGGGCCCTGCCAAATTCATGACCATAGAAAATGTGTCATGTGAAATCTGGGCTTTAGGGTGCTTTTACCCTAAACTATACAGATTTAATGGAGGGACCAGAGTTTCTCAAATTGGGGTTCCTGCAGGAGGAATCATGGGATTATTTGGGGGACAGGGCCACCCTTATTTCTGTGTTGCCTTCAGAGCTGGGCAGCTAGAAAGCAGTAACTGTTTGCTGGAAGCCCAGCTTTAAATGCAGACCCCTGCCAGCAGCAGCCAGGAAGTCAGGAGGCAATACCATACTATGCCAACCAATTTCTGTGCTGCCGCTTTTAAGAGTTGGGTTACCAGACAGTGGCAGCTGCTGACCAAAGGCTTAGGTCTAAAGGCAACAGAGCAAAAGGGGGGTTGTGATATTGCTACCCTCACCTTTGCCAAAAAAACTTCTCAAACTCACCTCCTCCCACAACTCCTTTTTGGGTCAGTACTCCTACAATTACAACACAGTGAAATTTCACATTTAAATGTCTGAAATAATAAAATTTACAGTTTTTAAAATCCAGTGACTGTGAAAATGACCATAGTGGACCATACATTTGATATGGTTCTACACAAACTAAACCTATATAGCCATGGTCACCAACAGGTCGATTGCGAGGCGTCCGGGCCCCTCTCTATTTGCTCCCCACCTCTGAGAAGCCCCACTACCTACCTCCAGCAAAAATAGAGGTAGTGCGGGCTTCCTGAGGGTGGACAGAATTTCCGCAGCTTACTGCCACTTCCAGGGGTTCTGGAAGTGCGCTGGCTGCTCTGCTGGGCGCGCTGTGGGAGGGGGCATTGGCCCAGGAGGAGGAGCATGGTGACTTCCCTGCACCGGCGCAGGAGGGGGGAGTCGACCCCGGGGCAGGCACGCACAGGGTTTCCTTGCGCCGGGGCGTGGGTGGGGGCGGTTTCGGCCCCTGGGCAGGCATGCGTGAGGTTTCCCTGTGCCATGGGGGTGTGTGTGTGTGTGGTTCGGCCCCAAGGGGGCAGGTGCGCGCGGGGTTTTCCTGTGCTGCAGAGGGGGGTCTGCCCTGGGGCAGGTGCATGTGAGGTTTCCCTGT